AGGAAAGCAAATCTTATCGTATGTCCGCTATCCAGAACCTCCAAACTTATGGTGAGTATTTGGGAGCGTCAGGGTGGGGGAAGGGCGAGAGATGTTTTTTTTTTCACTGCCAATGTTCAAAGTAACGATGATTACCTTTTTTATTGTGCACTATTAGGTTTAAGATGATTTAGAGAATGCTTCAATTTATTACTGGCCCAGACTGAGTGATGTGATAGAATTGAACCGCGTTTAGCAGATTAGCTGTCTTGAGCTAATGGTCAACGCGGCCGCCATTTGGCCTCCAGGAAACTATCAGCCTGGTAGCTTCTTATTCTTGACGTTTTCTTTGTCCTTTTTTCAAACGTAAACTTTTTGAAACATGGTTTGCATTTTATATACAATTTTACATTTCTAAAGCGCTAATTTAGAATGCCAGAAAAGTTCCCAGGAGGATAGGAAATAATCCATCGTAAATTATGACGTTAACTCATTTTCCTCAATGAACTTTGGCATTGTCCGTTTTTTTCCCCTCGCTTTGTCTTCACTTAATGCTGAAAATCACGCCGCGAATGTCATACGTGGCCTGTTATTTTGGTAGCTCCTCCAAAGTGAAAGCGTGAAATTTAATATTTTAGTTTATTGGGCGGGTGGGGTGGAGCATGCGCAGACGTTGCGCAATTTGACCTTTATTACATTTCACGTGCCAGTCCAGTTACACAGGGTGTGAGAGTACTATTTTTTGTTTATTCCACCAGACCCCTTTGCTGATGCAACTAAGGGTGATGACTGCCTCCCAACTGGGAAAGAAGACTACATCCACATAAGAATCCAACAGCGGAACGGCAGGAAGACCCTCCCGAATGTCCAGGGCATAGCCGCCGAGGATGCAACAGCGGAACGGCAGGAAGACCCTCACGACTGTCCAGGGCATAGCCGCCGAGTATGACAAGAAGAAGCTAGTCAAGGCCTTCAAGAAGGTCCGAGTTTGTGTGTAATTTGGCACACATTTGCTGCTTTGGATTAGATTCAACTTTGTCAATTGGTCTCCAATACAAAGGAACGACAATGAAATGCATATTGCGTCTAACTCGACGGGCATAAAATTTGAATGGCACCATGGTTGTGTCACCTTTTACACACTATTAATTTGAAACAAGGCAGAAGTTTTATTCCTGCAAAATATATTTATGGTAACATGAGCAGGTTTAACTATATCACTTTGGTATTGGAAGAAAATTTAAATTAGATTCAGATTGAAGCAAAATAAATGCTTGAATCAGGCGGTTAAGATTTAAAAAAAAAATCCAAATGTACTTCCAAGTTATATACAACTGGAATGTACTTGATTGGTTAAAAAAAGGATTGAAGCCTCGAACATGAGAAAGACTTGAATGGGGTTAGGTTAGTCTGTCCCATATGCCCCTCACATACCCTTCAATGGAAACTGGCCCACCAGGATGGGTGGCCGATCAACTGCTCTGAAGTTTGAGTATAATTTAATGTAATTTATCAATATTTTTGGGGGTGTAAACCCAATCTCATACACTGCAAAGATAAAATTCTAATATATTCTTGTAAACCACTAACCCAATGTAGTTTAAACACTCAAACACAAAGTGGTGTTTAATACTCAATGCAGTTTAGATTGAAATTCTATCTTAAGTGTTTAGAACACATACTTATTGAAATTAAAATTTCATCCAAAGTTAAATATGACTAAATTGCGAGAAAAAGCTTATGTTACATTTTGTGCTTTTGAAAGTTTAATTCAGTGGTTCTTTCACTTAATACTAGAGAATCCCATCTCCCATTAGTGGTAGAGCTCTTTATATCACTCAACCCCTGCAATTTGCTGTGGCTAGGGACTTGGTCCTTCCACAATGGCTGAAAATGAGAGTACAAAATACCACTATACAATTCCATTCTAAAGTATTTTGGGGCGAAAACCCATCGCTGGCGAGAGATAATAAAAATAGAAAGAGCAGCGGCCCTAGAACAGACCCTTGGCGCACACTGATAGGGCAGTCTAAGTGGGGAGTCTCAATACAATCTACTGTTAGATGTAGTTTCTTGATTGATGGGCATGATTTAAACAATTGGGTGACATGAGTAGAGAAATTCAAGTGTGTTAATCCACACACAAATACTTTGTGATCAATGGTGTTAAACAATCTCTTGAGATTGAAAAAAATGTATCTAAAACCACTTCGGTCTAGGATACCGTGACATTTTTCCCCCCAGAATATATTGTTCCATTCGTACAATAAAGAGTTTTTTTTTTTGCTAATATATCAGGGTTTAGTGCATGTATGATATGTCAACTTACATTGTATCCGATTGTTTGCCACTTGACCCAACAGAAGTTTGCTTGCAATGGGACCGTAATTGAGCACCCGGAGTATGGTGAAGTGATCCAACTTCAGGGGGATCAGCGCAAGCACATCTGCCAGTTTCTCATTGAGGTGAGTTGTCGTCCAGGATCAAAGTGTTGACGTTTCACAGCTCACTCACTGTCTTGTCTCGGTTGTAGATTGACCTGGCCAAGGAGGAGCAGCTCAAAGTCCACGGCTTCTAGACACTATCGGCGGCCCCCTCACCTGGAAGACCATCATTTCCCTCACCCCCACCCTTCCCCTCATGTGCTGCTGTCACTCATCCTCCCCCACAGCTCCTAGCTAGCTAGGGTGAACAACAGGCTGTTCTAACATGGGACTATGTACCACCACTGCTTCCCTTGGTCACCTGGGGGCAGTCGTGTCGCGGCGTAGACTCGCCGAGACTCCACACAACATCCGCGATGAATGGTGATGACGTCTACATGTGCTTCCTCCTTCCCTGGGTTATTTCCTTTTTTTTTTCCTTTTTAGATCTCTGTGCCATGATGAAGAGGCACTGTTCATGTAACTTTTTTTGTTTTGTACTTTAAGGTGTTTCAATAAACTGATGCGTCTCCATATGCTTGTTGAGTGGTGATTGAACAGGAAGGTTTCAGTTAGAGGCTGGCATTGATGGCTGTGTCCAAATTCACAGGTTGCATCCCATTTTTTGGGCAGCATGATGTCACTTCTGGCGTGACTCGACGTGGTTTCCTAATTCTTGAAAGACAGTTTGCAGGCTGGATTATTTGCCTTAAAACACTTGTCATGAGCCTCCTTGGACTGCATGAATCCTGGAGAACTTGGTCTTAATGTGAAATTGGACACCATGTCTGGTCGACTGTCACGGAAAAGTGGTGTCATGCGGCCTTTGGCGGACCCGTTCTGAATTTGGACACGGCCATAGTTGCACTCAAATGGAAAACATTTACTTTTTTTTTTTTTTTTGCCCTCAGGCTTATGTTCTCTGCAGATGACCTGGTTTAGAACTGCTTGTGACTCACTAAAGCATCCTTGAAATATAGCACGCAATTGAAACTCCTTGTAACACATGCATTAACTTTAAGAAGGTCCCCTACTAAATTCTCCTTGCCAAGCAAGTTAAGTACCGCACATTGTACTGCACACCCTGATATCGATTTTTGACTTTCGCAGCTTTTGAGCCTTCTCGCGAGCCGTCGGTCTCCAAGGCAACGCCATTGCCGCCATAGTTGTTGGCTGCGTAAAGGCAAAGCACACGACGGCGACACTCTTCTATTTATCTCCTTTTTGTAGTCCAGCGCCAAACATTCCATTCTACCTTCAGACGTTTTCTTTTCTTAGGAAGCTAGAGGCGGATCTGTTAAGTAAAATGGCGAAGAGGCTCAGTTTCGCCTGCTGCTAGCTTAAAAAAAACAGACGATTCAGTGAATCAATTGGAGTTTTCCCTCGACCGACGTACGAATGTTAACGTATTGCGCTCCATTTTGTTGTAGTTTGACGTCATAGCGGCCAAGCGAATTATGTTGTGTTTTGACAACTACTTGGCCACAAGGGCGAAGAGAAAAAGAGAGTGACGTCAGGCGACAAGGTCTGAAAGTTATTGACTTGCTACACAGTTTGTATTTTTAATTAACCGTCTGTTCTCGTGAAAAGCACAAGAATTAAAAGCTATTACTTGATGGAAATAATGGAGCAGTTGCCAGTCACTGTCAGGATACAGGGGTGACAGGGGTCTGACACCTGTGATCTAGACAAACAAGCATTTGTACTTGTGGACACTTTGTTTGTCTTAAATTAAACAAAAATGTTTTTGAGAAAAAAAAAAAACACCCGAGCAGAGGGACATGCCAATTCCTCACAGAAAGGCCCATGCCCAGATTGGAGTGTCCATCCTCAGGTGTGCAGGAGATGTGTTAACCACTTATCCACTTAGAGCATGAAACACGCAGGCCCTGGGGAAAAAAAAACATATGATGATGCGTTTGTGTTTGTTTAAATCGTCTTTTGTGGCAGTTGTCTACTTCTGTGAACTTATTTTCTTCTGTTGCTGAAGTAGCTGAGTGACAGTAGCTCAGAGTGGTAACCATGACAACCCAGAAACCTCTGGAGACTTCCCTCCAAAATTAATTTCACATCAGAGGACACACAAGCAATCACGTGCAACGATAAACGTAAGCAGAGGAATCTAAAATGGAGGACGTATGATGATGACAATGTTTTGTTTTGTGACTGCAGGGAACCTGGACATGTGACCTTCATGCAGAGAATGAGCGTAAGGAAGAAAAAAAATGACAATCATAAATTTATCTCAGCGGTCCCTCTCAAACAGCTGTTTACAAAGTGCTTTGTAAGAACTGGAAAGCAAAAATGAAACTAGAGGTGCAACAATGAATTGATTAATCAACAACTAATCCATTTTCACATTAATCAAAAATGGTTGAACAGTTACCAGCCAAACGAGTAACCAAGTCATAATGTATGTTTGTGCTAAACGGATCCTCGTTGTGTAAAAAAAGTAAAAGAAAGCAAAAAGATGACGTCCCATCAAGTGAGACTGATAGCGCCCATGGCAAGTCAGCACGACGCCTCTCTGAACATCTTTTGGTCTTCCCGCTCAGGTTGTTCCTGTTTTGGGTTTGGCCGTCCCCCTGCCTGCCATCATCATGGCCGGCGTCACGCTCTACATGTTGCTGCTGGCCCTCATCCTCTGGATACGATTTTGCCTAAAGGTGTGTGTGTGGGGGAGGGTTGCCCACAAACAAACAAAACAAACTAAGCAGCTAGTAAATCGAGCAACACCTTGCGGCTTTGTGTTGTAGGAGCGCTGTCCGCTGACGTGCGGCTCATGCTGTCCCAGCTTCTCCGTGTGGGATAGCTGCTTCCGTCTGGCGCAGTCGTGCGACTGTCAGCCGCCTACGCTGCGCTCGTGTCTGAGGGACATCGCATCGCCGCCCCCGGTGAGAGTCCGCGCAAAATGTTGTTCACATCTGCAGGGGGCGTGCGGTGGCCGGAGGATGGATTTGCGGGCATGTGGAATGGGGATGTGGAAAAAGTTCCATCTGTTAACCCCCTAACTGCCCCCCCAATCGACAAATTATCTTCGGGTGGCATTCATGATGCTTTGTGCACCCAAGTGTCCCAAAATATTAACCCTTTCATGTAGTGACCACGGTCTCTGGAAGGGTTAATGTTGGGGCCTGCAAAATAATGAGGAAGGTACTTATTTATTTATTATTTTGCAGAACAAAAGGTGGATCATGACGTTCCAAAAATAAAGTTGTTTTTTTTGAAACACTTGATAACGTGACTTTCTCCAAGTGTTAAACTTATTACTGTAATGGAGCCTGGAGTGGACCTCGCTTTTTGTGAATCAAAGAGCAAAAATCTGCAAATAATAGATGAGCATTACAGTATAGCCGAATATGGGAAAACAAACAATTCAGATATGAATTTGTTCTGATAACATTTTGATTTGTTTTCCAGAAAAAATTTCAACTTAAGTGTGTTCCACACATGCAAAGGTGACTGAGGATGGTGCTTGACGATTGTGTTTGCAGTGTTTGCAGTGTTCCAGGTGGGACTGCGCTTGCACGTGTCAGCCCCCGGAGTGCGAGTCGTGCAACTGTCTGTGCTTCGAGATCCGCATCAAGTAGTCGCGCACCACACTCCAAACACGCCGGTCGTTTTCCAGAACATCATTCAACACAATGGGACTCAATACTGTTGTTCGAGGAATGTTTCCAACTCAACAGTGCAAAGGACGTTTTAGCTGAAATGGGCTGACGAGCAAAACACGCCAACGCGCCATCTTCGTCTGGATTTACAAAACTCAGGATGTCCCGCTGGGGTCCTCACGAGGGTGCCATTGAGTTTGTTATCTTTGATCCTTTGAACACTTTGACTCATATCAAAGTTTTTATTTTTTTACACTTGACATTCAACCGTACAATGTTAATAAATGTGACTTTTTTTTCTTTGACTATATTCTAGTGAAGTTTATTCGTACAGACCTTAAACACAAAAGACTTTCAAAGAGTTTGATGGGCCCACTGTAGACAAAGATTAGCAGTATCACCTAACATATAAATAATTCTTGATGTGTATTTGGTTGTGTGACTCGATGCTAGCTGAGAAGTTAAAACAAAAAGAAGTGTTTTGGGTTGGGCAATGTGGGAGAAAACCCACGCAGGCACAGGGGAGACCAGAACCGGAATCAAACCCTGCACCTCTGCACTGTGAAGCCAACATGCTAAACTGTCAACCACTGGGCCGCACATAAATAATTGAATTTTGAATTGAATTGAATACAACTTTATTGTCAAATCTATTGTAAATATAAATTTCTTCCCTCTCAACATAAAACAACAACAAAACAGCATAAAACACAAAACAAAATAAATGTTTTCACAAAATCTTTAAAAAATAATAATCAAGGTGAAGCACTTATTTTCACATTTTCTGTCAAGAAAGACAATCCCCCCACCCCGACATTATTTCTGTGCAAGTTTAAATTAATATATAAATTAATGCTGAGAGAAAAAGGAATTTATAAGCTTGCTTGGTATTCGCATAAATCATCTAAGTAGTTAAACCGGAATTCACATTGCGGTTGGGACACTTGGCAGGGATCAATTGCCGTTTCATTCAGTGGCACATCATCAGTAGGACAACTTGCAAGCCCGTGCCGAACACCAGGAGCTGGCTGAGGAGGGGCGGCGTCGCTGAGCTGGAGTTGGTGGGGGACAACACCTCCCCCACCTCCGTCATCAGGAAGTTGCTGAAGCCACTGAGGCTGGACAAGATAGGAAGTCACAGTCTTACCAATTATAAAAATATTGTACGTTACAAAATGAGTCAGAAGTGTTGAAAAGCCAGTATAGATGTGCAATGTGAAAGTGGCAGAAGCAGTAAAAGTCACCTGGTCCAGTGGCAGATGATTGATACAAATGTTCTCAGTGGACGACACATTCCCACAGTCCTGCAGTGATGTCGGGACCTCATTCAAGGACTGCGCCACTAAAGTTTGAAACAGGAAAAAGAATGACTGAAAAAAAAATGCAAGGGGGTGACGACATGACGCATACTTGGAATCGAACCGATTCAAAGATAATTTCAAGTCGTGCACATGCCTCCTCCTTGGCTCGCACTCCATCCGACAGCCCAGCAGATGAAGCCAGTGGTGAAGATCTGGCCATTGTCAATGCAGATTGGCCAGATGAAGTTTGACAGCTGCGGCCAGTATTCCAGTTGCAAGACCGCCACATTCGGATCTGACCGTCCGCTGGTTCTAATAGCGATCACTCCCACCGCCGTCTCAGAACTGTTGGAGTCACTCTGATTCACGGGACTCAGGAAGACAGTCCACTTAGACACTGTGCTGGACCTGCAAAGCACAAACCCATCTCAAGCATACGACAAGACTGTCTCGGAGTTGTCAGAGGTGGGAGTTGAAACGCCTTCTGACAGAGGACTCGGCCAGAAATTCCCAGGAGGCCTTCACATTACACTTGAGTCTGCCAGGTTGGACCGTTATCCTCCTACATCATCAGACCCATCAAACCACACATCCTTACCCGAGTGTCCAAGACATGCAGCCTCA